ATTCCTTGAAGACCGCCATGCCATTCGAATGGACAAGCGACTACAGACTCCGAATACATGAGTGGTGGGGTCGTTCCACGAGGGGCTGGTAGTCTTTCAAGGTGTATGACCACATCGTCGGTAAACAAGCCATTGTCTCTCTCAGCGTCGTCAACTAAATCCTCCTAAACTGGAAAGAGAGTGGGAAGGCGTGAGGATGTGTACGTCGCGGACCAGAGATGCGTTGTAGGCGACTCGCAGCCTGATCAATAAATATTTTTCCACGCCACTGGCTTTGGCAGAACCCATAAACGAACTCCCAGCCAAACTCTGCACAACGTCGCATGCTATGACATGGGTCCAAGATGGCTTGGGTCAGTGGTTCCTCTGCTTGCGCTTCTCCGTCGCTGTCGTCGCATCAGCCTTTCCCATCGTCGTCATGGTTCCTATTGTAACTGTCGTCCATATCGTCATCGGTCTCGTCACTTCCACTAGGTGTCTCTCCCTCAATCAAGTGGCCCAGTCCCTTTGCGTAGCACTTTGTTTTCCTAGAGAACGCGATTGGTTGTCAGTTCAACAGTAAATTAAGGATAGGCAGTCTCATTATGCTCACTTGCTTGGGACGTTGAAGCTGAGCCCGAAGCGACACAAGATCCTCAGTGGTCTCTTGATCTTTGGGAGCGGGTGCCATAGGACCAGTCGAAGAGGCACGGTAGCTTCGATGCGGGGGAGGATTAGATTGTCTTGACGCGTCAAGACAAATGTTTCCATCACCCTTCATCCAACTATCTCCTTGGAACACGGAGCTGCTCAATCGTAGAAGTTTGCCTCATGTCACTTGGAACAACCAATAGAGGGCTGGACTTGACTAATCTTACTTACAGATTCGAGGTTCTCTTCTTTAATTGAAGGCTTCAACGCACGCTCTTTCTGATGTTTCGCAGTCACTCTGATGATTTGTCTTGGCAAAAATCAGATATATTTTGGCAACAATGGCAGAGCTGCGAGAGATACGGAAAGAGAGAGACGTTGACATATAAACAATGAAAAACTATACAAGAGTGTAAAATCACCAGAATACAGATCAGTCGACCAAGCGAGAGCAACCACGATAACAGTGGAATAAGGGTAATGGGCAAGCAACGAAGTTGGAGACTGCAAACAGAGCATCAAAATACAAGGAAGAAGATGAAGCAGAGACGCGAGACCAGGCAGATCAGTAGGCGAAACTCCCCGGTGCCGGATACTGATAGCCGGGTTGCGCGTATTGTTGTTGTGCGTACATGCCCTGCATTTGCTGTTGCTGTTGCTGTTGCTGTTGCGGCGGCACGTACATTTGAGGCGCCTGTCCTCGATATTGCGCTCCGATGCCCATTCCAGGAGCAGAAGGTGTGTAGTATTGTTGCGATGCCGCGGCGTTAACGTTATTCGCCGACCGAGCCGCGTTGATTTGCTGGAGACCCGCCGACATCTTCGCTTGCTTCTGCGCGTAATAGTCCGCAGCGGATATAGTCGAGTTGGACTCGCGACGGATGGTGGGGTCGTAGGAGAGCGCGTATTGGGCAGGGTGTCCGTGCGGATGCGATGGCATGACATACTGTTGGCTGAATTGCGAGGCTGTGGGGGATGAACCGCTCGAGGAGGATGCGGTAGACCCAGACCAGCCATCGTCAGAGGAACCTGAGCTCGGCGGGGGAGAGGAAGAGCTGTAGCCGTCGTTACCCCTTACGTTCCATTGAGAGGGGGAAGAGTACATGGGAGGAGCGCCAAGCTGAGGACGAGTCTAAATTGGAACACAGGAGAAGAGAGATTAGAATTCAAAATGAACGACTCGGAAATGGAATCTTTCCGTAAAGACTCACAGGAGGAAAGACGGCTTGGGCCCAAATGTGTTTCTCGGGGAAGCGTCCACCATCGAGCGCCATGATGTCGTCGACTGAGCCCCAGAGAAGACTCTCGGCTGTAAGAGCGGAAGAGAAAATTGCACGTGATGTCAACAATCTAATCTTTACGAGAGATTGATCCCGCGTGGCGGTGTACAAAATGAAAATGAATGATCACGTACGTTGCTTCAAGCCGAAAAGCTTAATGTTCTTCTCCTCGCGTTTTTGGATGCACTTCTTGGAGCGGCGCAGGTGGCCGAGGAGAGAGTTGGGTGCAGTGATATTTGCCGACGAGAGATCAGAATGGCATGCTGGACAGAAACCAGACTCGGCAGTAATGATGAAGAAGGTCTGAGGGCGAAGAGCACCAAGGGCAGACTTGATATTGTCAGTGGTGATGGTCTGGAATAGCTTGGAGTCGGCAGACATTGTTAGAGATGAGTGGTAGGGGATTGAGTGTTTTGGTGATAGGTGAAGAAGGGCGGGAGGTAAGTGGTAGGCAGGTAGTAGTGCGAGATGCTGATGAGGGGATGTGGTGATGTGATGAAGAAGTAGATTGCACAGAGGGGCCTAGGTATTTAACCCATCTCTCGTCGTATAAGCGCGCCTTTGCCAGGCCGCCATCCAGCCGCACGATTGGGTTGGTTGGATGGACTCGTCGGCGGGAAGTTGTGCAAGTTGCTCAAGTCCGAGCACCCGGGGTCGCACCCGAATCTGCGTCTGGCGGCCAGAGAGCGGTGCGGGATCTGAGATCTACACAGGACCCTTGTGACAGATCTCTGAGGTACACCTGCTCCCGTCGGATCTCACTAGTCTCCTTGCGGCAATAGAAGGATCTTAACCTATTGCTTCCCGTGAGAAGTGCGGTTGTTGAACGGAACGTAGCGCTTCTCTACCCTCCTTGGATCCTGCGCTCTCAGATACAGTACCGCCTGAATCTCTAACTCCACTCTTATTTCCCGAGATTTGTACAACCCATCAAATATCGAACCTGATCCCGAGTTACTGGGGGTGCCACCGATGGGGGCATGGAAATCCAATGTACCTCATTCCTTTCCAGTGACTAATATTTTCTTCTCCAACACCGCGAACATCGGACTGTGACGGGGTTGCAAAACGACGACTAACTGAATGGAATGGAGACAGGAACAGTCAGGAAGTCACAAACCTGCACAGAACAAATCTATTGAGCGAAAAGCACAGGCTACGTCGGTTGCCGCCCCATCACTGACTGACCTTTTGCAACTTGCACAGCGCCATTCCGCTTCAACTTTACCCTCGGATCCCAGTTACGGGGGTGTAGGTCTCTCAGTCAAGAAGCTCAGAAGACGCTTGGAGCCACCAGGGCATCGAGATCCAACTTGCTATCTTTGGATCGGCGGTGAGCGACTCGCACAGCGCATGGGGGCCACGTTACTGTGTAAAATGCACACCAATAAAGGCTCTTTATGCTCTCTCCAGCGATCCAATACACGTCAATCTTGTCCTCGAGGATACAGGCCGACGTCCTGGGCTGGACTGCCATTAAGCATCGTTGCCACGTTCTTACGTCGAAATTTTCGATAAAATGGGCTGAAGTGGGCGGCTTTTGACGAACTCGTTGTTCTCTATTTAGGCGGGCTGGCGGCTCTTTCATGGTCGTTGTTTTGATGCGCAGTTCTCCCTCTTGGGGCGCAACGGTGGGCGATGAGTCTTGTCACCCGTCGTGTACGCTCATGCCCCCCGATTCTCATTGCACATCCCCGAAACTAGCAGAGCCCCGATCTACACTGATTCTTACCCCTAGCCATACACATATGTAGGTGAGTCTAGACCAGATGCACGAATATTCACGGATCACTGCCTTCTAATTGACGTATAGTTCTTTACAACAGGTTTTATACCAAGCTTCGGACCACCCGTAGACATTACGTTGCTGTGATAGGCTCCTCGCATGTTTAATTGAACATTTATGGCATTTTTGAACCGACTCGGCATGATGTGGCGAATTGTGGCCAACCTGGCCCTGAGATCTCTATTATACCCCCTCCTTCGACTCCCTTCATGATCGACATTGGGACGATGCACCCGGGCCTTCGCAAGATCAGCACATCGGCTCTCGCGTGGCAGACTCTCGTTGCCTTGAACGCACCGTAAGGCTCTTCAATGCTGCCGGTCAGTTGTTCGTTCAAGAAAGTCACTAAAAAATTGACTAATTTTAATGGGACTAATTTACGCTTTGCGATTATCCGTGACGGTCACGAACGCTTCTAGTGCGATCCCGAGGACACTCGATTCAAAAGGCGCACACTCGACCGCCGACCCATCTATCAGATCGCAACAGCGCAACAAGCACATCAACAATAAGGAATGTCGGCTCTGCCGACGGGGTCTTCAGCGGCCTCATCTCCTATCAATATCCTACGCGGCGGGCAGACAAAGTCAGGCAGGCTTTTGAGCGGGCGACACAGCCACCCGCCCTCCGGCGATAACTCACATGGCAGGTGCGAACGAACTTCATTGGCTTAAGAAGGGCCGCCTAGGAGATCGGGGCTTCGGAGATCCACAAATCACATCTGCAAGTCTCTCTTGCCGCGGACTCGACCTTCCTCTTTGCGGCATCGACCACCAAAGATTTTTACCCACACTACTCTTGTCTCTGCCCGATCACCCCCGCCGCCCCGCCCCGTCGGAATGACGCTAGAAGTGGGACGATGCGCTCAGCTGAGCTCGTCCTCCCCATTCTTCGTCTCATCCTCCTATCCCGCGGAACTTCCAGGTGGCTGATCGGACTTCCGTCAAGTCTCTCTAGCCGAGGAGTTGACTTGCCTATTCAAGCCTAAGCGCTGTGCAAATGTCTCGACCGTCAGAGCGGGTTGGGCGCTAGAGTGCTCTAGTTTAGCGCTGGAGAGCATCAGTCATCTCTCGCATATGGAGCTCGGAGCTTGGGATGGAAATGACCAATCAGCTGAGCACGCTGTGGTGAGACTGATCGATCATGGGAACTCATAGGAGAAATAGATACAGGAGGTACCAGCAGTGGACGACAGTAGTGTGTACGTCTGGAATGAAAAAGGTTCATCGCGTTAGGCTGTCATATTCGCCAAACTTGAAAATTTCAGCCAATGAACTACCATGTTATTAAGTCACAGCCGCCGAGGCATGATGGCCGAGCGGTCTAAGGCGCTGCACTCAAGTGTTCATTCGCTTGTTACTTTCTGTAACTCCTATTGCAGTCTCGCAAGAGGCGTGAGTTCGAGTCTCACTCATGTCAAATTCCCTTTTACCATCGAGACGTTGAATGAGGTGTCGCCTTCAGGAGTACACTACAGAACAACCCCTTTAGATCTTATTTGAAAGTACATCTTTGTCTTGACTTGGATATCTTGTAGC